GGGATATAGCTAGAAGCATAGTGAATGGAGAAATCCGTATGAATCCTCAATCACTAATAGTGTATGTAAATGTCGACTATCACTCTAAAGCAAGTCTAAGGAAACTCTAGCTGACATGTGCAACGTCTTTTCCTTCTGCACTTTACTTTCGTTTTATACAAGTAAACCAACTCAAGGGGAAACGTCAACCCCAGTCCTCAGCTTCAGTACTCAACTCCTACGCTCCGTTTTCCAAGCCCAAGAACCAAATCCCCACTGTCCGAGTAGTGGAGGAGTTAAGGACTTTGAGAGAATATGATCTTGGTTACCTACTAAGTAAATTTGACCCTTATTCTATATCAGACCAACAAATCAAATCAGTTCACTATAAAACGATAATCTAAAGTTAATGACCATCGAACTACAAAAACATTTGTTGATAGCAAACATGAAATATATTTGTAGGCTTGTAATCCACCCTCCACTTTTCCATGTCCAATCGAAAACGCCAATAAGAAAGGCATAGTCAAACCAAAAAAGGATGGCCCTGATTTGATTACATGCTTCAATACAATTTAGCAACTTGGCTAATCTGCTGCTAATCGCTGTCAATCCAAAAGCAGACTGGAGGTATATAGTACTAGCAGCAGCCCAGGGGAGCTGCATCTATCTGTATGCTCTCCAAATAAATTCCACTTCCTAAACCCCAACAAACAAACAATAAACCTAGCTCCTTCTTAAACAAATCAATCAATTTGTCATAAAGCTTTGTCTTTCTTGGTGCTTTGGCTTTTGCATGTGGCGGTGAATCTAGCAAGCCTGCGCCCTACCAACTTCACTGTATACCTCATATATGAGCTTAATAGGAAAATAGTTAATAATTAAGAACAAAATTTAAACCAAATTGGTGCATAATAATATAACTAAATAATTAGGGGGTATTACATATTGTATTATTATGATCAAGATATTCAAGATCTAGCACAATATATAATTTGAAGCGTGAACGCGATCTATGAATAAAACTTTACAGAAATTAATTGATAATGATTAATAATTAATTAAGGTTAATATTCTACTCATGGGGCTGAGCGAGGACGTCAACATGAGATATTTATTTCTATTTTAAGTTTCGTCTCTGACTGACAGAGAGAAGAAGAAGAAGAATAAATGGGTTGTGGTGCAAGCAAGGGGGGATGCATCCCAGAGATCACTTCTTAATTAGATTATTATTATTATATGTATTACCCTCTTCTCTTCTCCCTCTTTGCCACAATAATTAATTAATCATGATTAGGATGTGTTAAATATAATTTATTTGTTATTGATTTTGGTAACATCCAAATACCTAGGCGAACAGTGCCTCAAAATTGACAAGCTTGAAAGTGAAAGCTGCGGGCGGGCTGGCACCAATTTCTAGCTACGTGCATTCTTCTGTGTATATATATAGAATTGACCCATAAATATTATCAAGATCCAATTCATCATCCTTGTTATTGTTTTGATCCATCTCTCTCAAAATTATTTCAACAATAATTGTTTGTTGCTTTCTTAACTTTACACCCCTTTCTTTACATTGTTGTTTGTAAGAAAGTGGTTAAGCAACATACACGAATCTCTCTCAACAATTCAAATTATATATATATATATATATATATATATATATATATATTAATTTATGATATTATTAGAAGATGTCTTACGCCGTAATTTTTGTCCCCATGCACCCTCCACCATAATGTCAACTCTTGGGAACCATCTATCGGGCTCTTTTCCCTTCCTTAGATAAGTCTTTGTGGGCTTCTTGCTCTTTTGGACTTTGGCTCTTATCCCTTATCAATACTGTGCAATATCCTAACCAGACTCTGGATGATCATCCAGTTTTATCGTTGAAGTATTCTAACCGCACTTGTTAATTCATTTGATCCAACCCATAAAGTGTTGATCATCATCTAACCATCTCATAAATGTAGAAGTGGTCGAGCGCGAGACCTAATTCCCCTTTTTGATTTGCTTTAGCTCTTCTCTGTTCGATCTGCAAGAACCCTAATCGAACCCGATGGAATCAAGTGAAGAGATCACAAGAGGAAAAACGAAAATGTAAAAGAAGAATAAATTGGATATGTTAATTAAGCTTATCTAGTTCTTCTTTTACTCGGGCTGGGCCTTAAGGCCGGCTTTTGTTTATTCTAGCCTTTGCACCGAGCGGGCCGAAACCAACTCGAGCCCAATCACTGAATGTTGATCGTCTCCCCTGAAGATCAACTTGCAGTTCCTCTGTTTGAGCTTCAACCTGGAAATTTCAGACAAACCAATATAGAGCAGAAACTTAAAGAACACTGCAATCACACTTTTACGTGGTATCCGATATTGGGAGAATAAGTATCTCAATATCGACTAATCCACGGTAGGAGAATCTCCTCTTGAGAACTCCTACGTAACTACTAAGATATTTTCCTGTTCTTTTACAAGAACAATCTGAGTTAGCTAAGCTCCCTGCCTAGTCTACAGAACTGGATCTGTTGTAACTACTCCCTGTTTATACACACAGATCTCTCACAAATCTCCCTGACTTGACTCGACTATTTTCCCTCACAAGTTCCTGTTTGATCACACAAACTACTGCACTTTGTATCTCGGAAAAACAGTGCAGACATCTTTTTCCCAGGATTCTTTTATAACCCATTTGCTCTGCTTCTATCCGTTGTAGGTGATTTGATTTTGTTTCCATGATTGGCTGCATCTTTCCTTCTTGAGAATTGCTGCTTTTTATTTTGATTGATTGCTCCGATTCTTTCCTTCTTTGCTATTGACAAGCTTCCTCCAACATGCTCCCCCTAAGCTTGTCAATGGCTCATCTGCTGCTATCGATTCTCTGCACACACTTAACACACACTTGGTGCAGTCTGTTCTATACTCAATGTTTAATTGAAATGCAAAGAGGAGCCTTTTATTTTATTCCATCAAATTCTCAAGAGACACATACACAAAAACAACCTCACGCACAAAAGAACACACTTGATCAAGACTACTTGACTCAACCACTACTGCTCCCCCTACGATGAATAGCTAACCCTCTAGAAGGGATAGTTAGGAGGTGATTCATACTCCGAGATATCATCCTCGGAGTCTGAGTCAGAGGATATGGGATCAAAGTCGTCAGGAGCAGGCATCGCTTCATCAGCTTCCAAGAGCTCTAGACGTTCCTTGCACACTTGAAGTTTGGTGGTTGATACGTTTCCAGCCTCTTTTCCACGTTTGATCTCATTCTCCACTGCTGTGACAGCAGCATGAGTTAGTTCTGCAACTAATTCTCTGGTGTCATCATTGGCAGAGAACATAGAGGCAGCTACTCCCCCTGAGACAGAGACAAGCTTTCTGGTCCCGACATCAGCATCGAGACGATTCAGCACATGATTAGGACGTAGATCATCATGAATGTTGCAAACAGCAACTTTGTCACGAAGATCTCACTACAACAAATTCGCCCTATTATGACGAAGCAATTTTGTCATATTAGATACCATTTTTGTCATATTACGTATAATATGACAAGATCTGTTGTCACAAAGGTTTGTCATTTTATCGCCGTCAAGATAGGTCAAATGTGACAAAAATTTAAAACAAGTTTGTCACATTTGCTTTCAGTATATCCGAGGTTCTGGGTAGTCTATTGTGACAAAAAAAAGATATTATGACGACATATTTTGTCATTACGATTGTCATAATCTAGTGATTTTGGGAGAATTTTCGTCATATTACACGATTATATTTTGTCGTAACTATATATTGTGACGACTACATTTTGTCACAAGTGCTTATTGTGACAACATTATTTTGTCATAACTGAATATTATGATGAATATACTTTGTCATAACTGCATATTATGACGAGTATAGGTCGTTAGGAAAGGTGGTTTAATTGTCTCATGTCTAATATGACAAGAGAACAATTTGTCAGGCAATGTACATAATGTGACGACATGATATTGTTGTCACATTTGACCTGCTTCAAAAATTTCATAATTCTGAATTGTTTGTTGCATTGCAACCTGATAATGGAAAGATTATCAAAGATCCAAAACATTACAACCATTTCCATAGCAGTCTAACTCCTTGTTCAACATAACCAAACATTCTAAGTTGTCCACCATGACACAAAACATTCTACTCCTTTGCTGATCTTGGGTTCTCCTTTGGTCCATACTTAACCTTTTTCTTCAGTACCTTCTAAACAATCTCATCATTGGCTCCTCAAGTCAACGATGATACGGTGATGAGCTCGATCCTCTTGGACTTCTCATGAGAACAGCGAAGCTCTGGTCGAACGGACAAGATTTGTGAAAGATTTGCTCTAAGCATTTTCTTGGACCAGATTTTGAAGCTTCTGGTTTTCACACTTTGGTAAACGATATCCTGTGCCAGGAAAATTCAGGTCAAAATTTAAACCATGTTCTCAGTTTCAGGTTCTGAAAGTTCTTTCCTATATCAGAAAAACCAGACAATATGGTTGAATATATATATCAAACACGACTGTTCAATTAAAATATAGCTGAAACAGGTAGTATGATAAGATCTTAGAGCGAACACACCTTTATAGAATTTTTCATGGAACCAGAGAAGAGTCCGTTATCTCCAACAAGCAACAACTAATGAGACAACAACTAAAGAATGACCCTTAAGTGATGCAGCTGGCTCAAAGACGTTTGTGGCTGCATTATATCTCCATGCCAAGATTGCTAAATCCTGCACTAATATAAAAAATTTAACAGTTATAAGTTGTTCATCCTATACAACTGCAAAAGAATGACTCCAGGCAACAGTAGGATGAATAGCATCATCCAGAAGTCTAATGCAACCATACGACTGAAAGAAAGAAGAGGAGAAACAAAAGCTTCCTCTCCTTTTTCTACTTCTTCTTCCTCTCTTCTCTGCTTCCCTCTCGCTGTGCTGTCGCTAGTCGCTACCGCAAAAGGAAAAGAAAAGCAAAAACCATTCTTGTCCCATGATGACACCAATATTCAAGCACAGATCATATCATTTATATTGGAACAGGTAAGGTAACCATATGTTAATATGTAATCAACATGCATTACTCCATACACATAAAGAATAGAAGTATACGTATACGCTAAGCAAACGAGTGATGTTTCGAACTTGTCACAGTCAGCATCAATAGAGAGCTTGAAAAGAACGTTGACTGCGCACCTCCCAGGAATTTGTTGCAACCAGCTATCGACCAGTCCTTTCTTTAACATGTCGGAGAGCTGCTTCAGACAGTTGCAGATGCCCTTCTCGTCCTCAGCGGTCTTCGCTTCGTTGGAGATGTTGTGTATCCCGTCGCAGTAGGCTGGAGGGACGGCGTTCTGGTCGCCTTTGCCTTCGGCGTACGTAGCTGAAGCACGGCTTGGCTTTGCTCCTCACGTCGTTGCATCCTACGATGGCCACATCAGATCTGGTAGTGGAGTGGCTGATCAGGAGAAAGAGAGAGGAAACGGCCATGATGTTGACGATCACGAGAATTTGCAGAGACTCTGATCCATCTCAAGTTATATGCTTTGCCTTCCAGCCGTAGTAATTGACCTCGCCGCAGCCTACCCTACGCTTTCTTTCCTTACTGCAACGCTTCCCCTCTCTCTTCCTATACTTTGTATATAAAAAGGAAGGTGCAGCTGGTTTTGGTAATGATTGGTGTGGTTTTTTATGGTCAGATCTCTGATCAATTAGGAACAAGACAAGAACAAAAAAAAAATCAACTTTGAAATTACCTCTGTTGGAGCTGGGACTCATCAACGGAAGTAGCAGGGCAGTGGGAGGAGGTGGAGCCGGCCCGAGCAGGAGCAAGAGCCAGGAGGACGAACGCCGGCCAAAGCAGGGGCAAGAGAACGAAGAGTCGAGAGAGGTAGCAGGGCTAGAGAACCTTCTTTGACGGCCAAATCAGGGGAAGGACCACCGCTAGTCTTCTTCGACGGCCAGAGCTTGGTTCGTCGCTCGGTTCACCGGCAGGAGGTCGCCAAATCGCTGGTTCCAAATCGACGAGCGACAGCAAGCGGCAACGGGGAGCGGCAACGGGGCAATGTGTTTTGGAGCGGAGCTTTCAGAGCTCGTCTCTGGTTCCTCACGAAATGGAATTAGGGTTTAATGAGCCGGACGTTTTTTCCTTTTTCCTTTTTTAAGTTTCAGTTTATAATAACACTGATAAAGAGAAGAAGTGGAAAAAGGATCAATAAATTAAATGGGTATTAGGGGCAGGTGGGTAGGTGATTTGAATTTTTCAATTACAGGGAAAATGTGGGCGGGCTTGGGGAAATTTTTTGGGCGGGACATGGTTGTAATTTGGACGGGGTATGGTCGAATTTTGTGAAGGGAATGAGATTTGTGTGAGTTCAACAAGAAAATATGACGAAAATGTCTTTTGTCAAAAACGAAATCACTATATTATGACGAACATGCCTTTTGTCAAAACCGAAATCACCATATTATGACGAACATGCCCTTTTGTTAGCTCGCTGTTGGATTATTGCTATCTATTGTGACAAAATACTGTTATTTAAACAATTCAGGAATGCATAATTTGACAAACTTAATTGTGACACAAAATATTTGTCACATTACTCACTTTAAATGACGAAATATTCTGACAACAAGAAATTTGTCACTGTTGAGTCTCTTACATCCCGATATGGGACGCCTATTTTGACAAAATTAATTGTGACACAAAATATTTGTCACATTACTCACTTTAAATGACGACTTATTCTGACAACAGTTATTTTGTCACATTAGGCATATCAAATAGGACATATATTATTTTTGTCATATCATCGTACCTATTGTGACAAACATAAAATGACAAAATAAAATTTTTGTCCTAATAGGCCGAATTTGTTGTAGTGTCTATACCGAGGCGATAGAGATAACGAGTAATTAACGGGCCAAAGGGAAGAGGACCATTATAGCTACCATTGCCAAAGCTGATCATGTGTGCAAACACAAGAGAGGCATAGCTGATAGGCTGACGGGCACGAGCATTGAATAGTATCCAGAGATCAACAGTGTGAAGAATGTTGGTACTGGATATATCACGAGGAAGAAGGCATCTGGTGATGAAGAAATGAAAGACCTTGAGATCATCAGGAAGGCGCCCTGCAGCCAGCCTGCTTGGAAAGGATCGTCCAATGTCACGAGTGAGTTGACTCAGAGCAACAAAGAAGTCAAATCCATGGTCTATGAACTCATCATCAAAACCAGCCTGGTGGCCAGAGTGAGGAAGGGCAAGGACAGAGGCGAGAAGATCAGGGCTGACAGTAACTTCATGATCATGCACGAGAGTGGTAAAGGAATTTGAGTCAGATCCTCTACCTCGTCGAAGATTGACATAGAACTGCCTGACAGATTCAGGGCAGTGAAGGAAACGTTGATCTTCACAGAGGGAGGACCAGCCAATCCCCGAAAGGAGAGATGGGATATCCATCTCATACTTATTGAATGCAGAGGGATGAATGGTGAAGGATGGATAAATGGGGCGATCACGAAAGCAGCGCAAGTACCGATTGTGAATAATGGTACTTCCGAATCCTTGGTTTTTGAAAACTACAGCAGGACGGAGTTGGGAGTTGTTGAAGGCCATGATTTTGGAGGAAGGGTTTTTGAGTGATGTGAGAGTGGAAGAGCCAGGATTACCCTAGATATAGTGGGGTTATCAGAACAGATAGGGAAGGCAGATCAGCCCAGCTCTCAACCAGAGACTGACTGCCTGATTTATCGGAGGTAAGATGGAAAAAGAATAAGATAAAGAAGGTAATTAAGATATCACCGAATTCTAAGAGATACTTTCTATCTCTTCGAGGGAGAACAGGCCGAGTTCTCGACGAATGGGCAGGAATTTATCTACAGGTAATGGTTTGGTGAATATATCAGTCCACTGATATTCAGTTCCAATGAATTCTAAATGTATTTTTCCTTCATTCACTAAATCTCGGATGAAATGGTAACGAACTTCTATATGTTTAGTTCGAGAATGCTGAATAGGGTTCTTTGTCATGTTGATAGCACTAGTGTTATCACACATGACAGGAAGTGATCCTAGTTCAATACCATAATCCTTAAGCTGATATTTCATCCATAGAAGCTGAGTACAGCAAAAGCCAGCTGCTATATACTCTGCTTCTGCAGTAGAAAGAGCAACTGAGCTTTGCTTCTTGCTAAACCAAGATATCAAGGAAGATCCTAGGAAGTGACATGCACCAGAGGTGCTTTTTCTATCAGCAGTACATCCAGCATAGTCAGAGTCAGTATAACTGACTAAATCTAAGCTAGAATCACTAGAATACCAGAGGCCAAGAGTGGAGGTTCCAGCCAAGTATCGAAAAATACGTTTTATTGCAGAAAGGTGACTTTCTTTGGGGTTGCTCTGAAACCTAGCACATACACACACACTAAACATGATATCTGGTCGGCTAGCAGTGAGATACAGGAGTGACCCTATCATACCCCTGAACTTCTTAACATCTACTGGCTTCCCAGATTCATCTTTAGTTAATTTAACTGAGGACCCCATGGGAGTGGAGGCCTCTTTTAAATTATCCAGATTGAATCTTTTTAACATAGTGCTCAAATATTTGGATAAACTAATGAAAATACCTTTATCAGTCTGTTTTACTTGAAGTCCAAGAAAGTAGTTCAATTCACCCATAAGAATCATTTCAAAGGCATTTTTCATGTGTCATTTTCGAATTCAGTACAGAGCTGCTCACTAGTTGAGCCAAAGATAATGTCGTCTACATACACTTGCACCAAGAGAGTATGTTCATTTACACATTTTATAAACAGGGTTTTATCTACCTGACCCCTACGAAAGCCTTTCTCTAACAGAAAGTTACTGAGCTTTTCATACCAAGCTCGAGGAGCTTGCTTAAGCCCGTATAACGCTTTGTTCAACTTATAAACATAGTCAGGATGTTCAAAGTCTTCAAAACCAGGAGGTTGTGAGACATACACTTCTTCCTTTAAATCACCATTTAAAAATGCGCTCTTAACATCCATTTGGTACAGTTTGAACCCTTTGGATGCTGCAAAAGCACATAAAAGACGAATTGCTTCTAGCCTAGCTACAGGAGCAAACGTTTCATCAAAGTCAATCCCTTCTTCCTGACAGTAGCCTTGAGCTACTAGTCTGGCTTTATTTCTAATTATGATGCCTAGTTCATCGGTTTTATTTCAAAATACCCATTTTGTTCCAATTATGATTCTGTCCTTAGGTCTGGGAACTAGATCCCAGACTCTAGTCCTAGCAAACTGGTTCATTTCATCATGCATAGCAGCAGACCAGTATTCATTATTTATAGCATCTTCAATGTTCTTAGGTTCGAATTGTGCTATAAATGCTGTGTGACCAGTTAGATGTTTGGATCTTGTGATCATACCTTGACTGAGGTTTCCTATCATGAGAGATGGAGGATGTCGTCGAGCTATATGAGGTGGAGCTTGACGGTTTTCCTCTTGTTCATCTTCAGAATTCTCCTTTTCTTGTGGTACATTCTCTTGTACTGGATCATTCTGAGGTTTGTCAACATTGTTTGCTGTTCCCAATCCAAAATCATCATCCTCATCTAAACTTTTTGCACACTTTCCACAAGACTCATCAAATTTCACATTGATGGACTCCTCTACCTTGAGAGTCCTTTTGTTATAAATACGATATGCTCTACTATTTGTTGCATAACCCAGAAAAATTGATTCATCAGATTTCGAATCAAATTTTCCTAGGTGATCTTTAGTATTAAGAGCAAAACACTTACAACCAAATGGGTGAAAGTAATTTAGGTTTGGTTTTCTATCCTTCCAAAGTTCATAAGGAGTTTTATTTAGTTTTGATCTTATAAGAGCTCTGTTTGTGACATAACAAGCAGTATTTATAGCCTCTCCCCAGAATTGTTTAGGTACTCCATAGTCATTTAACATAGTTCTTGCAATGTCAATTAGAGTTCTGTTCTTCCTTTCTACTACTCCATTTTGCTGAGGGGTTCGAGGAGCAGAGAAATTATGGAATATACCCTTTTTATTACAAAAACTTTCAAACTTTTCAGAGATAAATTCACCTCCATGATCACTTCTTATACTTACTATCCTTGATTGTTTTTCATTTTCAACCCGTTTCACAAAATCCTTAAAGTTTTGATATGCTTCATCTTTGCTTGTAAGAAACAGAACCCAGGTGAACCTAGAAAAATCATCTACAATTACAAAGGCATAATACTTTCCACCTAGACTCATGACATTACTGGGTCCAAATAAGTCAAGATGCAGCAATTCTAAAGGTCTTGTAGTGGAAATAACCGTTTTAGATTTGAAAGAAGACCTAGTG